AGGAAATAATTAACATCCCATTGATCTCTGCAGCAGGCTGATTTTTCTGTAAATTGTCTGCCCTTAGAGCTAATACAGAGACACAATGACAATACTTAGAGATAATCTTATCTCACCTGCCTTAACAATGATATGACAGAGCTGGGAAGGTTTCCATGTGTTTGAGTTTAATACTTGCCTCACTACCAGCTGCCAGGGCCGGCTCCAGGGTTTTTGCTGCCCCAAGCGGCAAGCGGGGGGGGGGAGCCACAATGGCGGCAGCTCCACCGCGCCACTTTCTTCTTCGGCGGCAATTCGGCCGCAGGTCCTTCCCTCTTAGAGGGACCGAGGGACCCGCTGCCGAAGACCCCGACGTGCCGCTCCTTCCCCTTGGCCGCCCCAAGCACCTACTTGCTGGGCTGGTGCCTGGAGCCGGCCCTGCCAGCTGCCTAGCAGTAAAATAAGGAAATTCTGGAACTGATAGGAACATACTTGCCAATACATCCTTTTCTAACTGGTCTATGATTGGGTGCCCCACCCAACCCACCCTGAGAGAATCCATGCAATATGTAGATTTAAAACTCAGCCCCTTTCCTGAAGATGGTTTTATTAACAGACAAATTAATAAATCAGCTCAAGCCTCCTCCCAGGGCTTGGCTGCTCCTAGGGCTCCTCTCTCAGGACTGCTCAGCCCATACCCTAGGTCAGCGTTTCTCTAATGTGGCCATCAGGGGCTTTTCTTGCAGCCACAGCCTCCTGGGCAGTGATTGGGGAGGGGGAAGCAATGGCCCCTCCCCCGGGGCCCCCAGCAGGAATTGGGGCCTACCCCCTTCTGGAGACACAAACACTGGCGGAGCAGGCAGCCACTGAGTTCCTGGAGGTGGTGGGCTCAGACTTCAGCCCCGGGGTGGCAGGCAGTAGGCTCAGGCCATGGGGCTTTCAGCTCCAGACACGTGGTGGTGGCAAGCTCCCACCCCCAGGTGTGGGGCTTCGGGCTCTGGCCCCCGGGCTCCCCCCCATCACCCCTGGCCCCCGCTGCCTCCCTACCCACCGCCCATCCAGGGCTTAATTTGTCCCTCATCTTGCCGGGGCTGAGTAAATTTGCTGTGAAAAGTGATATTTGTATGTTTGTTAATATCACTTTTCACAGCAGACTTAGCAGCCAGTGAAAAGTGATATTAACAACAGACAGGTATCACTTTTCACAGCAGGAGGCTTACTAGCTAGCACTTAAAAAACCCCACTAAAAAAGCAAAAGAAACAACAACAACAAAGACAAGAACGTGCTTTGCTTATTTGTGTTTCTATTCTGTTTAGGTCCAGTAAAGAATAGAGACAATTGTACATTATTTTTATTATTGAGTCTGCAAAAAGACCCTATAGTCTCAGGGCTGCTCTAACATAAACTTTGTTCCCATGGGTCCCTAGATGTCATTGGAGGAAGAAAACAGCCATGCCGTTACCCTGATATGCCCTTGTGATGGAAGCAGAGCCAGGTAGAATCCTTACACCAGCTGTATTTTTGGGTGGAAGGCGGGGGGACTGTGGGGGTGGATTTTCACCCCTTCAAGTCTTCCTTACAGTGCTGTCAAAGGTCCTTGGCCTAACTGAGAGTCTTGTCCAAGGCACAAGCTGAACTGTCAAACCAATAGTAATTGTCGGCCTTGTTCTCTTGCCCACTCTTGTCCTGAGTCACGCAGAGTTCTCACTGCATGATTCCTCCTGGGCAGCAGGGTTTGCGGTCATGACGAAGGACAGGATCTCTCAGCCTCTGATGTGATCACTGTCGGCTGGATTAGCCTCGCCCGCACACCACCCAAAACGTACTCTGGATCCATGCAAGATTGTGGCTCCAGTGACGTGCTTTGGGCCGTTCCCTTCTACGTCAGCAACGCGATGGCTTCGGACAGGGCAGGAAAAAGCCAGTGATGCTGGAGCATGCCCAGCAGCGGGTTTATTCCATGCTGAACTGCAAGCCCCTGGGGGTGTGGAATTCCATGGTGGGGCTCCATCCAAAAGAGACGTGATCGCTCACCGCTGTGCTCATATGAACCAGGAGATGGCCACTAGTGCGACCATGTTTATCCGGAATCTGCTACCCAGGGGACCCTCTCTCAAGAGCCAACGGCAGAATCCACCACATCGGCTCACTGGCTTCTTAGTTCTAAGCCGGCTGGTTTACCCTGCTGCTCCCAGAGTTGCTTATGTGAGTAACCTGTTTTCTCTTCCCACAGTGGTATTTCCTGTCCTGCAGTGGCTGAGTCATGCTGCCAGGATCAGAGCATCTTTTCTCCTTGGCTTCCTGGAGCATTAGGTCTAGAAGTTTCAAAACAGCAGGGTCGTTAGGGTAACATTGCTCAATGGTTCGCTCTCTTCAGGATTCAGCTCTGTTCCCTCCCTTGCGCTGCTTCACTTAGCAGCAGGAGAAAAAAACCAAACTTTTGTAGTGATAAGCAGGATGGCCGATTTCAAACAGTTGACAAGAAGTAAGTGAGTAACAGTAGGGGGAATTCCCCCTAATGGGCCATCCTGATTATCACTACAAAAGTTTTTTTTTCTCCTGCTGCTAATAGCCCACCTTAATCGATTAGTCTCATTAGAGTTGGTATGGCAACCCCCATTTTTTCATGTTCTCTGTGTATATACATATATCTTCCTACTCTTGCCCTCATGGCAGGACCAAATACTGTCTAGACCATCCCTGATAGACATTTATCTAACCTACTCTTAAATATCTCCAGAGATGGAGATTCCACAACCTCCCTAGGCAATTTATTCCAGTGTTTAACCACCCTGACAGTTAGGAACTTTTTCCTAATGTCCAACCTAGACCTCCCTTGCTGCAGTTTAAGCCCATTGCTTCTTGTTCTATCCTTAGAGGCTAAGGTGAACAAGTTTTCTCCCTCTTCCTTATGACACCCTTTTAGATACCTGAAAACTGCTATCATGTCCCCTCTCAGTCTTCTCTTTTCCAAACTAAACAAACCCAGTTCTTTCAGCCTTCCTTCATAGGTCATGTTTTCCAGACCGTTAATCATTTTTGTTGCTCTTCTCTGGACTTTCTACAATTTGTCCCCATCTTTCCTGAAATGTGGCGCCCAGAACTGGACACAATACTCCAGTTGAGGCCTAATCAGCGCGGAGTAGAGTGGAAGAATTACTTCTCGTGTCTTGCTTACAGTACTCCTGCTAATATATCCCAGAATGATGTTTGCTTTTTTTGCAACAGTGTTACACTGTTGACTCATATTTAGCTTGTGATCCACTATGACCCCATAGGCGTGTGCACGGGGTGTGCTGGGGGTGCCCTGGCACACCCTAATGCCCGCGGGCCGGATCTGGCCCCTCAGGGCTTTGGATCCAGCCCACGGGATTTGCCCCACGTAGTGCCGCTGGCCCCGCGCCACTCTCAGAAGCGGCTGGCACCACGTCCCTGGGACCTTGGGGGGGGGGCAAAGAGCTCCGTGCGTTGCTCCAGGCACCGCCCCCCGCAGCTCCCATTGGTTGGGAACGGGGAACCACGGCCAATGGGAGCTTCGGGGGAGGAACCTGGAGGTGTGGCAAGGGCAGCGCGTGGAGCCCTGTGGCCCCCCCCGAGGGGCCGTGCCGGGACATGGTGAGTGGCGCGGTGTGGGGCCAGGGCAGGCAGGCAGGGAGCGCGCCAAACCCCTCCTGCACCCCGCCCCCCAACTCCCTGCCCTAAGCTCCCTGCCTGTACCTCGCACCCCCACGCCCTGCCCTGAGCCCCCTGCCTGCACCCTGTACCCCTCCTGCACCCCAACTCCCTGCCCTGAGCCCCCTCCTGCACCCCACCCCTCAACTCCCTGCCCTGAGCCCCCTGCCTGCACCCCGTACCCCTCCTGCACCCCAACTCCCTGTCCTGAGCCCCCTCATACACCCTGCACCCTTCCTCTGCCCCAATCCCTTGCCCTGAGCCTCTTCCTGCACACTGCATCCCCTCCCATACCCCCTCCCGCACCCCAACCTTTATGATGTTTGCCTTTAAAAAAAAAATTCCCTGGGCGCACACCCTAATGAAATGTGCTGCGCACGCCTATGTATGACCCCCCAGATCCTGTTCCGCAGGACTCCTTCCTAGGCAGTCATTTCCCATTGTGTATGTGTGCAACTGATGGCTCCTTCCTCAGTGCAGTACTTTGCATTTGTCCTTATTGAATTTCATCCTATTTACTTCAGACCATTTCTCCAGTTCGTCCAGATCATTTTGAATTTTAATCCTATCCTCCAAAGCACTTGCAACCCCTCCCAGCTTGGTATCGTCCGCAAACTTTACAAGTGTCCTCTCTATGCCATTATCTAAATCCTTGCTTCCTTCAAAGGTGGATACCTAGGTTCCCCCCTGATGTGTGGGGCCTTGGGCTGCGCCCTGAAAAGCCATGATTCTGTCTTATCTAAGGTTCCCAGGGTGTGTTTTGTTAAAGGAGAGGTTTTCCACTGTCTGCTTGGCCACAATTTCCCCCTGGGCAGTGCTGTTCAATGTGCTTCACGCTGGCTGCTGCCCTTCACGCAAAGGGCGGCTGCTGGCTGCGTTTCAGTGGCACGGTGGTTAAGAGGGACTGAAACAGTTATGTTCCTTCCGCGTGCTATAAAAATGGAAAAGGTTATTTATTATAAAAATGCCCATTTCCTTTCATTAATTAATTCCCAGGTAGACTGTCGCTTCCAGGGCGCCAGGCTCTCAAGAGCTCAATAAAGATAATAAATAGGCCTGCCCACCGCTTCGGACAAACTTTCCCCTCTTCTTCCAGCCCTAAGCCCCAATCGACTCTCTTCAAATCTGTTATCCCCTGTAGCAAAACTCCAGGGCTAGAATAGTGTGTGGGGGAGTGGGTGTGTGTGTGGGGGGGAGGGTTTGCAGGTCAGGACTGAGGGGCAACGGCAGAGCTGTAGTGGGCCCAGGACTCGAGTAACAGAAGACACCAGGACAGAGGAAAAACTAGGACAGGGTTAAGGAGAATTGGCAGAGCTGTGTGTGGGGAGC